GGCCCCGAACACCTGGTCCCGCCACAGCTTTTCCCAATCTAATTCTGATCCAAAACAAGCCTCCCATGGTCGCACTTTGGGTGCCAAACGCTGCCTCTCAATCCCTAGAAAAAAAAAGTTTCTTTCTATTTGTCTCGGTCATCTTGGCCCCGGACACCTGGTCCCGCCACAGCTTTTCCCAATCTAATTCTGGTCCAAAACCAGCCTCCCATGGTCGCACTTTGGGTGCCAAACGCCGCCTCTGAATCCCTAGAAACAAAGAAGTTTGTTTCCATTTGTCTCGGTCATCTTGGCCCCGAACACCTGGTCCCGCCACAGCTTTTTCCAATCTAAGTCTGATCCAAAACGACCCTCCGAGCCTCCCATGGTCACACTTTCGGTGCCCACCCCTGCTTCCGGCTCGGTGAGGGCCTCAGGGAGCACGACCGCGACATTGTGAGCCACCGCCAGAGGGGTTCGTATGTTGCTGTAGCTTGCGGTTCCACTGATGCATGTGTTCGAGCAGCATGGAGCAGTGGAAGCGTCTGTTGCCTGCAGGTTCGTGCTGCGACGAAGAAGCGCAATAGGTTGCGGCTCCAGTGATGCATGTGTTCGAGCAGCATCGAGCAGTGGAAGCGTCTGTTGCCTGCAGGTTCGTGCTGAGACGAAGAAGCGCAAGGCTCCCGCACCTGTAATCCCTCGCGCGCTCCCCCTCCTTCAGCCGGGGTCGGCGGATAGTGCTGATGGCTCCGCTGTAATTTGTTCTTTGAAGCCTCCCTCCGTTGCAGCTTCCGCGGACGTTGCAGGTTCCACATCGTCCTGCTGCGAGATAAAAGCTGCCAGCTGGAGTTTGCCTCCAACCACCTGGCGGTGTTGCCTAGCATTGACTTTAGGTGGATGTTTAGACAATGGAACATGTGAGTGAACACGTGGAACATATGGTTTTGGTTTGCTTTGGGTTGCTGACGTTCAATCGTTTGCCATCCCAGGTTGTCATTGCCCACGTTTCCTGCTGACTCAACCGATTCCGGCAAGAAAGCTATCAAGACGGAGGCTGAGAAGTCTTTTGCACTTCTGAAAGTTGAATTAGGCCTCCTCCGATATGTGTACAACAGTGGCTCTAAGAGACAAAGTTGTCAACTGTAGAAACATGTGGAGTCACCTATCAGCAATCCATGCAATCTGACTGACTTGTGAACATTGACTTGATGGAGCACCGGACCGTTCGAGACTGGTTCAGGTTTCATGGACGAAGCGGGCCTTCAGCAAAGCCAGTGGCATGTGTCCAACCATTTGCTCAAAGCAAGTTTTGCTGACTGTTTTGCTCCTAAATGCTTATGTTACTATTTTCTTGTCCTTCCTGTGGGTGAGCTTGCCACCTCCTTTCCCCCTTTATGCCCAGTCTTTGTTGAACTTGAATACAGCAAGTTGAGCGAAGATATTGCCAGTCCCACTGATACCACGTGCTCTTGCTGAGGTGCTCTGAGTTGCTGCCGCTCCTCTACAAGCAGTTTACTCCCACGAAAAGAAGCTTGGCAATGGTCAGTGAGGGGTAAGTGGAGGTGGGGCGATCTTTTGAATCTTTTGAGCTGTTTTGCGTGCTATTTACAAACCTGGTGACGTTGTTGTTAAACGAAACACTCCTGCTGAGCAGTGGGGGGGTGCTCTAATTGAGATCTTGGAAGTAAAAATCATCAGGAACTTGAGTTTGTCCGCTTTTGGTTCATGCGGCTTCACATTTTCGGCCAAGGGAAGATGCTGCTGTGGGAGAATCTGGGCAGACAAGCCAGTACACCTGAGATGTTGCAAGCATTGTATGTCAGTCCATTCGCAGGGTATGAGGTTGAGAAATGCTGGCAAGCCAACGCAGGCCTTTTTACAACCTACAGTCAATTACAAATTTACACATTGCATATCAGGGTGTGTCTTTCTTTGCTATTTTCCTACACGTGTTTGCACGTTTGCCCTACCCCCCGAGGAACGTTCCCCAAGCTGCGCCTTGCCTTAGATTTCAGCGATCCACTCCCACTCGTTTCATTCAAGTTCAGTCCATGGACCAGTGACTAGCAGACGCAAAACCCGAAGGGTTCATGGGTTTTGATGGTTTTTGGATCAAAGCAGTTCCAATCGCTTTTGTGATGGCCCAAGTGGTTTGTGACCCAGCAGCTGAACAGGGCCTTGCACTCAACGATTTGCGACATGGGTCTCTCAGTTGAGGCTTTGGCCATCCTCTACCTGGCTTTAGTCCCGGGAGGCAGCACTGTAGTGGCCGTTCTGAATCTCGCCGTTCCCATCGTCCAAGTGACTGGCACCTTTGTGTCTCCACCGCAGGAAGTGTTTGAGTACCCCATCAAGCCTTGGGCGGTTGGGTCATATTGAGGCTTCGCAAGTGGCCATCCGTTCGACCATGATTGACCGATTATGAAAGGTCAAAAAAGGCTTCAAACATCGGAAGAGACCTTTTTGTTGGCGATTGAGGGAAGGTGCATTGAGGGAATCCAGCAACAGAAACTCAGCATGTATCATAAATCCAGATCATAGAATCCTCGTACAGTTGAAGTTATTTACCTTCCCACTGGTCAAGTGCAGCAAGTTGTTTGCTGAGATCTTCAGATGCCTTGCCTTTCATCATGTGTTCACCTTTCAAACCTCTGTCGATGTCATTCGACGTGTGACCTCAGGTGCTGTTCAAACCATTGCAGCGCCGCATCGCTCCGAAGCTGGCCAGCAAACTGGACGCGGCGCTGGAGGCCGCTGACGGCGACCAAGTCGTCCGTTTGAAGGACGAGGCGAGGCCTGAGCCGGAGGAGTTGACACAAATGAAGTGGTCACAAGTCACAAACAACCAAAAGCAAGGGACGAGTTGGATCTGTCGTGATGTGTCTATTGTTTCATGCAGCTCGAATATATGGGTTCCGTTTTATCTTGGTTTTTGCCTTGGATGTAGTTTGTGAATGTTTCTGATGCTACTTGTAACTTGATATTTAGCCCAGCCCCAGGAGACAGAAACTCAGGGGTTGAAGGCCACTGGTTAGTTTCAGCTGGCTGGGCAAAATCCAATTCTCACAGGTTTCGGTTTGCACCTGAAAAAGATACAAACCATTGGATCCCAAAGTGTACCTATATATATATATACGTAGTTTGAATCACATTTGGATTTCCAGACTTCCCCAAATACCTCATAGAAGGTGTGGAGGCCAACCTTCTTGGTTTGAAGGTGTTCCTTTTCTGTCTTGTTTGTCTCAATGTCGTTTGGCAAGGGAAAAAAAACGGATGTCAAGCATCCCATGGACCGATATTTGCAACCTTGGGAAGGCTGGCTTGGAGAATGACGCCGGTCTTTTTCGCGAAATCTGCGTGAAGAGCTACTTTGCCAAAGCTTAGGCAATTAGGCAAATTGCAAGGCTTGTGACGGAGTTGACATGTGAAAGCAGCTGCATCAGTTTGCAGACATTGCAAGCTCACAAGTAGTTGGTATCAGCATGTATCAACCCACCAAGGCCATTTGCTGAAAGAGATCTCAGATCTGATCCAGTCAGACAGCACTCGTGAGGTCACAAGATCGAGCACTGACACTTGGACGCAGGGTTCGCAGGGTTCAGAGTTCTCTCGCAAGACATAACGTTTAAAGGACTACTCAAGTCCAGGCATTTTTATATGTCAGGTGTATTCACTCGAATCATGTTGCAACCTGATAGATCAATGTGCTCTTCAGTTGAACAACTCCGGGACATGTGGAGACCTGAGTGTTTGTTGGCAAAGGATGCCTGGCAAAATTCTTGGAGCTTTTGTGCGCAGTGGTTTGCGGCGCTGAGCAGTGGCGAGTGGGACGCTGGGAAAGCAGTTTGAAGAACCGCTGAAAGTGCCAGGACCATAATGGCCTCAGATGACTTTCAGTGTTGTTCCATTGAGTAGCTCATCCCTGGTTTGCCGAGTGAGACAGTGTGTACCTTTCAGATCGCTTTTTGAAGTTGATCTGGAGCAGTCTAGGGTATGGGTGGAGGTTGCAAAGTGTTTTGGTGTATCGAATTCTGTGGCAAGGACCGCCTAGCGGTGCCATGAAGATGTCAAGTCTCACGGTAGGCTTTACTGTCAGAAACTCCACAACGACGCTCCAAGGATCTCTCCGGAAAGCTCGAGGGAAGGACAACCTCTTCAAGGCTGAAGGGCCTCCCTTAGGATTTCTGCACCTTACGAACATGCAAGTCCATCCCCGTCATGTCCACGTCGTGTTTACATGACCATCAGCTCCAGATGCTGGCGGTTGAGGTGAGATTGTTTCTGGTGAGATTGTTTTCGGAGGTGTTTTCTCTACCCTTAGATTCTCGATTGTACCGACATCCACGGGGAAGTATTTGAGCAAGAGCCAGTAGTTATTGTGAATTTTGCATTTGCAGGCCTAAATTGCGCCACTTGGGAGAACCTTGCTAGAAAATCGCCCTTCGTCCTCCATTGACTAGTTTGTTCATTTTGAGGAGTGCTGCGGGTAGGCCTCAACAACCTGTCCTTGCCGTAGGTTTTTGAATGAATTGGGTAGAGTTTGGTACACACTTTGGGATCTTTTGTGTATTAGCAAAATCCTTGCATGTCATGTTGTTTTTTGTGTAGAAAAGCATGTCAGTATTCTGGAAATCCAGCGAGAGCTTTTGCAAGGCCATGGTGAAGATGGTCTCCTTCAACCTGGAGCCATTGCACAATCTGAAGATGCTTGGCTTTCAACCTGAATGCTTATGGAACTAGAGGATGCCCTGAAGTACGGTCTGATGCCTTCCTTGACTGTGATCGAGGCTGAACTCTAACCAGATTCCGCCTTCATGGGCGAAGGTGGGTGGCTTCTTGAACCTTCAAGTTTTGATATAAAGAACATTAAAGAACTAAACGGAATTGGTGTTTCTTTTTATCAAAACGTTGTTTATTAGTTGTTCAACTTCTTTTGACATTATGGTTGTTTTGACACACTGTAATTCATCGCGGAATGATTTCTCGCATGCGGATTCACCAATTACGCTCTAAGAGCAGGAACTCGCACGGAGATGGTCCGGGAACCGGACCATAGTCCGCTTGGAGATGAGTGAGAATGGCCTTGGCGCAGATGGAGTGGAGGCGCGTGGAAGTTGATTTCCTTCGTTCATTTGGCCTGGTTGCACTGGTACGAAGGGGTACTGAGAGGACCATGCAACTCGTGCGTAGAGGAGTTTAACAAGGGGTCTCCTCACACCGGTGCAAAGCATGAGCGGCCCCGGAGCAGCTGCAGCTTCGATTGTGAAAGGCTTTTAGGTTTTGAAGTGCAGCATCCCTGGCACTACAGTATCGATGTTGGGTCAGGCATTTCAAAAGTGCCAGTATGAATGGATGGGCTTCGTACCCTGATCGCTTGGTAGACTCTGCGGAAGCGGTCCCTGCTCCCTTGCACTTGCTCATCGGTACTTTTGCTTCTCGCTGTTCGCCATATCGCCCGATTATTGCCCATCAATGCCTGAGCACTTCCATTGACACGACATTCACACGGCATGCAAAAGAAGTACCACAGACAGCTATGCCGGGTTTCCGTTAATTACTCTATACCACATGGTTCGTTTCTAGTTCCTGGCTTGCGCTGTTTGCCTTGCACACCTGTATATATATAGTCAGAGCATGTTTGGAGTGGTGATTGGAACAACATGCTTGTGCGTGTGCTTTAATTCTTGAATGGCTGAGACTTGGGCATCATTTTCTATGCTGGTTGATCATACAGGACTCGTACACACCTTTGCAATATTGATGCAGCGTGAAACAAGGACATGCAGAACAGCTGAGCAGCCCAGGGAGGTTGATTTGTTTCGCATTCTGTTCGTCACGATTCTTATTGTTGTGGCATTGAGTTTTCATGCTTTGTTTTCTTATATTTGCGTATTCGCATTGTCCATAAAGGAGGGGAGAGAAACAGAAAAAGGCGAGAACAAATTTAGAAAGATGTTGAGATGAGATCCCGAACATGTTGTGTCCTTTTTAGTCTTTCTGACCGTTTGTCGGTAAAACTTCCATGTTGTTCCCAACTGTTTTTTCCTGTAGGAAACAATTAATGAGAAACTCCTTCAAGTTATTTGGCTTGTTTGCACTCTCGATACGACGGAGTTTTGCTGTGTCGGACACGTTGGTCGGACGTTCTTGCTGTGAGGCTCTTGCGAGATGTTTTCAACCAAGCACTCGCTTGGAATGTTTGGTCTTGGATAGCAACAGCTTTGGAGATAAAGGAGCCGAGGCCAGGACCAGGAAATGGACCACCCTCCATTGTTCGGACGCGCGTCAGTCTTGCGGAGCTATGTTGCGTGTGCCATGTAGTGGGTGTACAAAGTGGATCAATTTGGATCATGGGTTGCTTTGACGCAATGCATGCAGGGATGATATTGCGTGAGAGAGAGAGAGAGTGTGGTTGGGAGGTCTTAGCTGAACGTTCAAACCTTTATTGAGAACTGAGTATGTGCACACTCGCAAACTAAGTGTGACTGAAGAGTGAAACATGTGTTCACCTATGCTCACAAGTGTGAGTTCTGTTGGTTTGGTATCGTCCTTTTTTAAGGACATGACAGGCTGTTGCAAGTTGCAAGAGAGCATGGTGGCGCAGTTGGGTGAATACATTGAGCAGCTGACGAGCGGTTCATGAGAACTCACAAAGGAAAGCATGCAAGTTGGACCCATGCCTACAGTCTTTCCACACGAAACAATTGCCATCTATGATGCGATTCTTGGGTTAGAAAATTCAATATCTCAAGGCAGTTCAACTTGGAGTTGAAGGTTGCATGTTGGCTGCGCCGCTGGCCTCATTATTCTTCTCTTTGGTCTTGGCATCATATTATGCAAAAGTAGGCAGAGCGTGAACCCTTCCCTTGCGACACATAGTGACATAGTGGTGTGGTTTGAATTTTGAACCTTTTGGGGGCTTGAGCGATGGATAGATGGCAAGTGATATTGCAATCTTGGTTCAAAAGGCCATCCAACGGTGAATCTTTTGAATGTCCGCTCCCAAATTGCCAGTGCAAGATGAGTCTCATTCTGCAGGCGCTGGGCACCATGCTCACCGAGAACCGATCTTTGCGCGAGCTCAGCGTCCGGCGAAATCAGTTCGGCGACAACGGAGCCAAGGCCAGCAGCGTGTTGATGTGTTGCACGGACGAAGAGAAGACTCCTGTAGATCAGGTCAATTGGTAGATCAATTTTATGCGTTAGACTGTCGTATTTTGGCACCCTGTTGATCTTCATCCTGGAAAGGTGTGCGGTGTGGCCGGCTAAGCGAGCAAGAAAACTTTATTGCTGTGGAACTTTGGGAGTGTGAGGACACTTATATGCCCAGCAACGCCTGCCAGGCCGTCGCCTTGGGCCTCAAAAGCCATCGAAGCCTCATGGCCTTGATTTTAGATGCGAATGACATTGCCGATGTGGGTGGTGAGGCCTGGTTTCTTTACAGGACGGCATGATTCTGGTGGTCCAAAGACATAGCCACACCACCCTGCAGGGCCCTAAATCATCTGACGAGTTGTTCTGAACAAATGTTTTTTGTTGTTTACTGCAGGTCAAGACGGGCAAAAATGTTGTGTTGTGAAGTCGTTTTATTGTTTGCATCATGTAACTCTGCAGCAAAGGCAAGGCACCGCTTTACAACCCCTCTTGCTACTGACTACGTGTTGTAGCAACTGTTGTGTTGCTGAGCCGATGGGTGAAATCCATGTGAATCTCAGTTCCTGGGACACACAAGTCTTCAGGAGTCCAACGCGTCAACCAACAAGTTCAGGCATTTGTTGTCTTAGCAAGTTTCACAGTAAAAACATACACGTTCATGACAGCACTATGTTCGAAATTTTGGCGCCCTACCACCCCCCATCCGTGCCAATGCAAGTTCATGAAAGCAACAATCTTCCCGGCAATCACAACGAAGGCTAAACTGAAGGCAGTACTGAACGCAAAGGGCCTGCCTCAGACAACCGGTGGTCATGGCATGACTTGCAAAAGCATCCAGAGCATGTCCGTGAGGCGTGACATCGTAAACAATAGGGCCTGAGGTTAGATGTGAGATGACGCCCTTTCGGTTTCAGTTGTTTTGTTGGGCAGGTGGTGCAGAAAACCTGGCTCCTCTCTTCAGACCACCTTGAACCCTCAGGAATTGTCAGCCGTTTAATTCGTCCCAGCTCCCAGCGAAGGATATAAGGATACGGTGTCAAAAAACAACTTAGAACGCATATTGCCCATTGATGATTTGCTGAATAATGTTGTTTTCTCCTTGAAGGATCAAGATGTGAATGCGCCATGTTTGACTTGATGACTGGAGTCCAGCTTGTGGAGGCGTTGGCGGATGCCTTGGACCGCAGCGAGTTGGAGAGTCTCCACATCCAGCTCAACAAGCTCGGTGACCGAGGCTGCAAGGCCCGAAGAGTCGCAGGGAGGTGCCGAGTCCTTCAGCTGTGTTGGTGTTCAAAGAAGTCGCCCAAGTCGTCAGGCACTGGAGGAGGCCGAGCAACGCTCCAAGACCTTGGTCGACTTCTGCATAGACGATAATGATGGCGAGGCACCTGAAGCATGTGGTGGACTGTGGGGTTTCAGAGGGTTCGTGAGGTCTTGAAGAACGCTTGCGTGTTGCAGTCGTGTTGGACGTCAGGCATGGGCGGCAGAGGACATTTGGGCACACTTGTGCTGTGTTTCATTGATTGGTCACAATATTCTGGCAAGAATGGGCGAGGTGTCATCTATAGTGATACTATAGTGTCATGCACTTCTCAATAAATATGTCGCACAACCACTGCACCATGGATTGCGCACAGGGTGAATCAGCTCCATTTTCCACGGAGGGCAAGGAGTTGTTCACACATGTGGCGTGAAATAGCTTCATGCATTCGAGATGTTTCTCTCAATTTGCATTAAGTTTCAAATCCAGTTTCAAATCCCTTTGTCCAGAAAAGAAGCAATCTTTCAACAATCTTCAAATGTCATCCCGACAATATTTCAAATTGCTCAACAAGTCTGAAAACTCTTCTAAACACTCGAAGTCCAATATGTGCAAGACCAAGCAACCCAAACATCAGTCCACCAGCGAGTGCCTAGATCCAACAAGTCGTCCAAGTAGCGGGGGTCACAAACAAAGAAACCAGACAAAGGACCGGGCATGACCGGGCCACGAAAAAAGAAAGTCAAACCCCGACAGACGAATTGACATGAACTAACAATAAGTAACACTACGAAAGCAAGCCACGCATGAACCTGCGCATGCTTGAACCCCAAAACTCGGACCGATTGGTGTAGTCACCCGAAGGTATTCCCAACCACAAAAAACAAACAAACATCCTGACATGTCAACCAATAGATTGATCAACATCGTTCGTCCTTCTCCACCCCCACACACCCCGAGAAAGTGTCGGATGGCAAGGGAGCCGAGAACCACTAAGAACTGCACCATAGATTACGCATAGGGTGAATCAGCTCCATTTTCCGCAGAGAACAAGGAGTTGTTCACACACGTGACACGTGTGACTTGAAGTTAGTTTCATGAACTCGAGTTCGTCTCAATTTGCATTCAAGTTGCAGATTTCAATAATTCAATATCATCCTTTTTCAAAAACAAAGACGCCCTTCACACTAAACGCCCTTCAACGCAACTTCGTGGCCGTGCGCGGCCTTGTCGGTCCAGGAGAGCTCGCTCCAGACCGCCACGTAAGGCAGGCCATCAGGACCGGCACCGCCACGGCCGTTAGCTGCAGCGAGGACCGCACCCTGAGGGTCTGGGACCTGATGACGGGCACCTGCACCGCCACGCTCACCGGACACAGCGACGACGTCCACACCCTGTGCCTGGTCGACCGCTTCAACGTGGCCTCTGGCGACGGATCGGGCCAGGTGAAGCTGTGGGACCTGCAGTCCGGCCGGTGCAAGGCGACCATCGCCACGCAGCACGGCGACGTTCGTGCCCTTTGCCGCTGGGGAGACGACCAGATCGCGACCGGAGGCTATGACAACACCATCCGATTCTGGGAGGTCGCCTCCGGCCGATGCGTCTGCACGTTGCGCGGGCACGACGATTGGGTAAGGGCCGTGCGCAGGGTCAGCGCGACGCTCCTGGCCAGCGCCAGTCTCGACGGCACCGTCAAGGTATGGGATCGGCGCACGGAACAATGCCTGTCGACGCTGGAAGGACACAAAGGCCCGATACTTGCCCTGGTGAGGTTGTCTCACGGCAGCGTGGCCTCAGGCGGCACCGACTGGACCATCAAAGTCTGGTGCCTGGAGACGGCCACCTGCCGCCTCACCCTGACGGGACACACCGACACGGTATGGGCGCTCGCCCGTCTGTGCTCCCGCACTTTGGCCAGCGGCAGCGGCGACCAAACGATCCGCTTGTGGAATCTGGTGACCGGTGCGTGTAACCAGGTCCTGCATGGCGACGGCGCTTCCGTGTACGCCCTTGTGCGCATGGATGCCGCCACGCTGGTGTCCGGCGGCGGTAGCGGTGTCCTAAAGGTGTGGCGGAGCTCCGAGGCGACGCCCAAAGAGCAGCTGCAGGGGGATCCCAGGTGGAGAGAGAGCGGTCGAAATGGCAGGTGGAAGTGTCCAACGCTTCGGGTCTCTCAGAAGGTCCAAGTTGTTTTTTGAAATGAACGGGATTTGTTGAATTAATGCATGGCACTGTTGGAGGCTTGTTTTCTATCCACGTTGTTTTTATAATGGAATTTGTTGAGTGCATTGCACTGTTGAAGGTTTGTTTTCTATTCGCAGCGTTTTTCTCCCGCATCACTTGTGGCTTCAGTGTCTTGGCCGAGGCCCAATGATAGCCAGAAGTAAGGGCTGAAGAGGCCAAGGGCCCAGAAACGCATGCCTTCGAGTGGTGGTGATGCTTTATATTTCCTGCAGTGTCGTTGTTTGTCGAACCGGCTGAGATGAGCCAAGTGTGTGCTGAATGTTTTGGAAACCTCACGAGAGACGTGCCAGGCTTTGAAGATAAAACATGAGCAGACAGGAGATGGTGGAGTCTTTGAGAATGTGCATTGGCTTGATGTTTGAGTTCCAGACACTTGGGGCATGCTCCGTCGAGTCGACCGACTGCAAAGGAGCTGAGACCGCCACTCCGGGGAGCTGCTTGGAGCAGCGCTTCGAAGCTTCGAGGCGGGAGGACACGGCGTCACTTGCACCGCGTGGACGATTCTATAGGTCTGGGTGGAGCGAGCTTTGAGCCGTGTGGGGCATCAGAGGTCCTTCATGTTCAGCAAGTTTCTCATCTTGTTGATGTTCATATATTGTTCATATGAAGCTTACCATGTACCAAATCTGCCAAGTCTGTCCACAGAATCCTGTTATGGTGAGAACTCTTCAGCTTCGACGGTGCCAGGCGAATAGCTCCATACTTGGCACTGATTGCCTTGCATCGCGGTGTCAGCTTCAACTCGTGAGGGCAAGGTTACCGATTTGGTCAACTCAGCTAAGTGTGACATATAGTGCAACAGTGGAGCTCATTTGTGAATTATATAACTCTTAGAGGTTGATGAGGTTGCCTGTTTTTGGGGGCCTGCCTGTAGTGTAGGATCACCCTGCTCTTTTTTCAAGAGCCGGACCCCTCTTTTATTGTCTTCAAATGCTGTGAATTTGGGGCTGTCCAGCAATGAAGCTGCATCCGGTCAAGCCGGAGCAGAGAGAGAGCTTTTGTTTTTCCCTTCGCAGCAAGTCATACGTATAATGAAAGTGTTCATCCAATGTCCAAAAACGGCTGAAGAAGGAGATCACAACCTTGCCTTTTCCTGTCCAACTTGACACCGGATCCGCTTGGAGCATTATCCGCAACGCTGGCCCGTTGGGCTTCAACATGGACTGGTGCTGAGATGAGCCACGAATGGGATGTGGATATCTGCGGAGGTTGATGGGACAAGATACATAAGGTGAAAAAGGATGCTCTATATCTAAGCCTTGGGTCAACCACCTTTTTACGAGGTCTATGTGCTTAGCCACTGATCCGGAGGAATGTCACTCATTTGATCAAAAGTCCTGTCTATCAAGACCTGCGGTCTTCTTGAGAAAAGACATCCGACCACCATCCACCATCAAAGATACTGCAAGCAATGGCCCTTCAATATGTTCATTATTTGAGATCAATTGTCGGATTCTGGAGCACAAATTCAAACCAAGATTCATTTAGTGAATTGAGCACATAGAGATCCGCCAACTCATCGAAGTGTTGCTCATCGGCCAGCCTTGCCGCTAACGATCCGAGCTGTGGCCACTGGCCTGGTCTGCGGTCCGCACAGAAGGTGGGCCAATCCCAACGGCTTGATAAATAGGTGCTAGATAGATCTATAGGTGCTGGAAGCCACCATGCACAATATGACACGATAATAAATCACGCCGTGCGTGGACCAGCTAACGAAACAAAGTCTATTTGGTGCCCTCTTCAGAGTTTCTGGACCAGCCGACCGGGCGACACAGTCCGCAGAATTAGCTCTGTCCACCTCCTTGTGCGAGGGCCAAGGAGAGAAACCAGAGCCCTGCGGACGAAAAAGAAGCGCTTTCGGAGCTTTATTGCACTGTGGAGAAGCCCGAAGACCCGTGTGTTTCCTGGTAAAACGGCATGAAGTTTGGAGGTGGCAGTAGTGTATCCACGGGTGGCTGCCACTATCTTTCTAAAATGACGTCCAGAGATGCAGACGATAACATTGCACTAAAGTTGCCTGCAAGCCGATCTGTTTGTGAGAGGGTTCAGTTGAAAAAACGACTGCTGCGAGGTTCAAGTGTACCACCGTGGCACAATTCGTCTCAGGAAGCTGAGGATCTTTTTGAGCAAATCTCCATGTGTGACACAGGGCTGAGGCCGCTGACACTCCAGGGTCAAACAGAGTTGAGGCTCGATCCGCTCATTGCTTTATAAACACAGGAAGAGAGTAGCACAAAAACGCCAAGCCGCCAAGCCATATGGTGCCATGGAGATGATTGGCCCAGAGGAGGTGCCTTGAGTGTTCAGGTGGCCCATGGGCATTAAGGGCGACCGCTTGGAAGTGATGGTGTGTGGAGTGGCACAGGTCACAAGTTTCGGGCTGGCTGATTTTTACATATCATCATTCAACAAGCAGGTACTTGTACTATTATGTTCATCTTTTAATGTCATTTAATATATATAGTATTATATAGTATTTTATTTTCTTTTTTTTTTTTGCGGTTGTCCTGATGTATTATGGCCATAGTTGAGAAGTCGACATATGGGGGTTTCTCCTAGATTGACCGTGCCTCATCGGTCGGAGACAGCTCCGAAAGAGTGGAGACAGCACAACGGTGACCATTTGCATGGCCGACCCGACCCTTTGTGGCAAGTTGCATGGCCGAACCTGTTTGAGAACCACTTCGCCCCATCGGGTTCACCTGTTGAGATTTGGATGCAATTCCCTGTCCCTGTATGTTTCTTTGAGGTTCACACTTTGATGGAGTCTCATTTGGGAGCCTGTTCTCCACAGATTTCTCATCCAGCTCATCAGGCACCCAGCACTCCAATGGGCTGAAGACTTGATCGCAGGGAGGCTCAATTTGCGTATCCTTGTGTCGAGGATAGATTCGGAGGGAAGTTGTATGAAAGTGTGCAGTTTTGTTTAGAGTCTTCCCATGATGGATCTGTTGCATGCTTAGAGAGTTGTAAACAGTCGTTGTGAAATGCTTGGAAAACACCTTCTGCATCAACAAGTATGAACTTTGTGGGCTTGGTTCGACTGGATTCTTCCGAGCACGTTTTGTCGCACAAATTCCAGCCAATTCTATGAAAGGTACGAGAGGAACCTGCTGGCTGAAGTTTGTTTCTGTGAGCCAAAGTGAGTTATTCAGGGGTGTTTTGGGGACAGACGGTACGCAATTGCTGGTAAACTAGTAGACTTACAGTAATGGTGTTTTTGGTTGCTATAGTGGAGGATATTTTGGGTGAGTTGGTGGCGTTGAAGATAGGCATCATTTGCAATTTGCTTGTGCACTGTTCCACAGCTGCAAATTCAATCAGCGCCCGATATATCAGAGAATGCGAGGTAGTCCAACAGAGAAAAACAAGTAGAACAATAGTTCTTTTTTCTGACATCCTGTGCCCGTCATCGTGTTCATGGATGCAAGGGAAGCGTCGCACTGATTGATCCCACTTTGGGCGCACTGTTCACCAGGGAAGGGACTCCGCTGATTCAATCAGCAGCTGTTGAGCATTGCACTGCAATTTTTGGGGTGCTGACAGTTGTTCTCTTGGCAGTCAGTGCAGTTTTTTGTTGAATCTGGTCCTGATGCCCGAAAGTTGGCTTTGGGAGCCTTGTGGCGCAAGATGACTACTGCAACGAACAACATATTTTCCAGATCAACATCAACTTCTTTTTGCCAACATATCACATATCATCACCTGTAAAGCCTTGGACTCTGACATAAGAAGACTCCTCAGTCTGGTGAGTCTCGTGTGCTTCAGCTCACTCCTGCTCAAGTGGCATACGATCGGCCTATGGGACCTGGCCACCGGTGAGAGCCTTGTCCGGTCGTGATCGGTCGATCTTTGTGTGATGCATCCCAGCGACAGAGATGTTCTGGCTGAATCCGGAGATGTTCTGGATGTACATTCCACCAACAGATCCAGATGTGATTCTGTGGGACGTCCCAGCAACAAGTGACAAATGCTTTGGGAAGGTATGCGGAGAAACAACATGAAACAACAACGGAAAAGGCTGTGGGGCTTCAGATCGTACTGGTTTGACTTTGGTGCTATTTGCCAAGAAAATTGCCAGGTTTGTTTCCCTTTTCAGGCAGGCTTCGGTTGAGATCACGAGGGAATAGACAGTGTGTTCAATATGTAGAGCAACTGTCTGCTACTTGAAGATGTAGCTTTTCCTGTGCGAGAGGAATACATAATTATTCCTTCCAACAAGTTTAAATCGGGGTTTCTTTTGTTTCTGCTGATTGTAGCGCCTATAAGTCGACAGATGTTCGAGCTACCATCAAAACGCTTGGCTTTGCTGAGGGAATCAGCGTTATTAAGCAATTGAGTCCCTCAATGTCCAGGGTCAAAAGAGGTAGGTCCGAAGAACAGGTCAGACAGGTGAAAACAACAGCGTTCCAACTGCAGATCGCTTCTCGCGCTCCCCTTGTCCCGCCCCACTGTCCTGTGCATCACGTCTGCGCACGTGGGACCGATGTCCGATGTCACGGCCTCCTCAGACGCCATGACGTGGCCGGCTAAGGTCAACCACGTTGCATGCAGCTCTGGCCAGTACTGGCCATTTTTGTTGGGTCTTGGCTTTCTGAAGAGGCGAGGACATTGCAAAGGTGGACTCCAGGGCTGAAGGTTTCGCAGTGGGTTGTTGGGTTGGAATACAGCTAGCAGGACCATCCTGCTTGGGTGTCCTTTGTGGGCTACCCAGCCCACTACTATTATCGGGGATCTCCAAAGGATGGTCATGGTACCTTTATTGATCCTCCTACCCAGGAAAAGTGGATAATAACCTCTTAACCTCCCACCGTAACCCTGGAAAAGTGAATAACAATGAATAACCTTCTAACCTTTTGTTCGGGAGTGGTTGTCCCACTCAAATCCAAAGGTGGAAAAGGTTCACCATAATTCACCTGTTTTTGCAGGAGTCAGACTTAGGCATGAATGAATTTCTTTGGTAGATACACCCGGGAAGAGACCCACATGGAACCTGATGTCATGGACCTAAATTTGGGTGACAATTCTATTTTCCTCTACAACCCAGTGGTTTTCAGGTTCCATGTGGGTCTCTTCCCGGGGTGTAGTTGGTTTGGACATGGAGCAAGACCTCCCGGGCACGAAAGGGCTCGGCTCTGGGGGCTCTGAAAAGGAGGACTCCGCAACTCGAGTTTTTTGGCGCCGAAGCGCCATGCGGAGGATGTGAAGCAAATACGGAGACCGAGACCTCCCAGTGACAGACCCCCTGGAATGTTTGGGAAAATAGACCAACAACTCTCTGATCCCAAAACCCGCCCTAGTGATCCATAGACCCCATGGGAAGGTGCGACGGGACTCTCACTTCACCCTCCAAAAAGGAGTCGAACACCTGTCCTTCGGTATGTGGATCCATAGATATATATATATATAGAGAGAGAGAGAAACACTGAATCCTTGTACATGTCCTAGCTGATGAGAGTACAGGAAGGAAATTTCCTGATGGAAGGACACGTTTGATTAGGGCAGATATTGAGCCACTAGTGTTGTGCCACTTGACTTTGGTCTGAACGTGTTTGGGATTTTGGGTCACTTACCACTTGACTCTCTCAAACGAAACCTTTGAGGGCGCTCCAAAGTGGGCACTTTGAAGAAGCTGGAGTAAGCTCATTATACTGTTGACTTTCTTTGGGCCTCCGTTTTTGGGGTCGTGCAAAAGGATCCCTTTGTTGATTGTGTTATCAAGGTACTTCATGTTTCCTTCTGCTGCGAGCTATAGCGTAGTTCAAACCCGCTCTTTGTGCGGAACCAAAGCAAAGGGCGTCACCGGTGGCCTTGGGAGGATGTGCGCAAGCAGCCCTTGACCAGAGATGTTTTGGCTGCTTCTCGTGCCTTGCTGGCCTCCTCCACCTCGAAGCAAAGCCCAGCGACACCGGAGAACTGCGAGCATCAGCGAGATGTGGCGGCTCATTTCAAAACTGATTTACTGGTAGATGGATAGATTTTGGGGTGGCTAGTACATGACTCACTGGTTTTGGGATGGTTAGACGATGGTGGCGGAATGGGATGTCAGGGCGACACAGTCACATTCAAGTGATGTGAGAGGTGCTTGGGGTGAAAAGGTTGGTTTGTGCTTCATACCTGGGGTGACCAGGTCGCTTGTGAGTGTTGTGGTCTGCTTCATCTGGGTTAAACCACCAGCGTACCCACTGACCCACTCTGCTTGGGCGAAAACCACAGGGAAGCGGTATAGATGTGAAAATCGCTTGGCCACAGGGGTTGAACTCAAAAGGCACAGAGGGAAACCAATCTGTGCCATCCAGGATTTGCTTGTTGTTTTCACATGAGCCATGCTTGATGAATCGGATCTATATGGAGCAACTGGTTGGAGTAAGAAATGGAAGATATCTCAGATACGGAGACTTACGATATCTCTTCGGGCCTGAGGGGAATTCTTTTCGGAGTCGATGAAGGGAGGTTCTTTTCCCTGCGTCAATAGAGCGGTGAACCTCCTAGTGAGGGGCGATGGTTTCGGACCTGGGCCTGGGATGCTGGGACGAGTGTTTTTAGGGCAACGGTGCTGTAGGTGAGAACATCATACTCCAACACGTGAATTTCTATCATTCATGAATCTTAATCTGGGCTGGCGGTCCAGTCGCCTTAAACCCTTTGAAAAAACTTGGCTTATTAATGGCAGCACTTGTAAAAACTGATTCTACTTGAAGGACTTGAAGGTAACAAGCCGACAGTCCCCAGCCGGCCAGCAAATGGGCAAGCTGCGCATGACCGGAAACGTGGCTCAGGCGAAGTTGGAGAAGGAGCGCGACAAGTTGAAGCAGTACATTCTTCATGGCGACATGATTTGATTCATTATTCAAGCTCATGTATTTGATGGCTTAGGGTCCGGTTGTGATGTAAGTAAGACCTAATTACTGTATTTGGAAAAGTACAATACATAGTATTGATGGCAACTCTGGATTGAACAAAGAGAGTCTCCTTTTTTCTAATTAGGTGAGTGTGTGGTTTGCCCTTCTATTCAGAATACCCTCCTGGGGAGTTTGCAGATGCATTTGTTTCTTCAATGCTGGAGGTGATTATGAGAAATTGAAGCACTTGCTTCAAAGCTGGAGGGGAAGCAATGCATACGTCCACAACTTGAACCAGACCAATGACAACTACTCTCAGATTCGTTGCAGTGATTTGGAATACTTGGCCAAAAGTCACGTGCAATACCAAGAACCCAAGTACGAGAGCCTCACTGACACTGAAACCATGAAAACGATGCACAACACAGTTCCCCGGCGGCTGTTGGATCCAACTGACTGTTGGATCGGTTGGCTTTACTTACTTCGAACCGCCCCCTGTCCTCAGTTGTGGAGCCATTTATTGGCGACTCTTGCTCCTTAGGGGGAAGTCTTGGGGAAAGTTGCGAAATACGCCAATCGGAAATCCTTTTTGAAGAACAGATTTGTCAGTTCGCTCCAAAACGTAAGTCTAACAGAGTATTGCTTAACTGGACATCAATGGACATCAGGCCCTTTTTGATTGAACTGATTGATATGTGATTGTTGGTCATTTTGAGGCCTGTTGAGGTACTCCTTTGAATGCTTGAAGACCGAATGGAGTGAAGCTTTCGGAGGTAAACAAAATCATACAAATCATTGACCTCTACATAAAGATAGAAAATCATGAGCAGTCTACACTGTGCACGAAGATTACAATTTGAAAAATGAAGATGCCATGCATCATCGAATAAACAAACAGTTCGATATCAAGAACACCATCAACCACCATCGAACACCCATGAATGAATAATATTCATCAATGTTTGTTGTGACATTAACATGTTCAAGCCATGAAGAATATTATTGATAAAGTTATTTCGCATGAAACATCTTCATCCAGTTCCATGTACCTTAGAGACCGTGATGCCACACACCAAAAAACTTAGTCAGGCCAATAAGTTACTTTATGTTGCTTTGGGACATGTGATGCGTTTCAATAAGTTATTTCCCGGGGAATAAGAATCAATTTCCCAAAACGCCAAAACGTCACTTTGCTGCATTGTTTGGAAGGTGCTGGGGCTGGCTTTACGCATGACACGAAAAAACAATGAGCGGGTGCTCATGGGCTTTCTGTACGAGAAGTGGGATGTGGGAGACCAAGATTCGATGATACAAAGACGCGTGGCTCGGCGCACAGACGGTCCGCCACGACTCGTGACGACTTCGACGTGCGCTCGTCCAGCGGCAGCGTGTCTAAGCCTTTGGAGCTGAGCTGATGACATAGACATCCCGTTTTCCAATCCATGACATGCCCTCCCAATGGGACCACACACAGATCAATCTTCCCTACGGTCAGCAGTTTGGGGCCTGCATAGTGCATGGCATGTGATTGTTTGAGATAAGTCGATACACAAAGGACTCTTGGAAAATCATACCTCACAAGCTAGCATGGATCCTGAAACAAGAACCGATAACACAGCAGTAGATCTATTCAATAAGTTGTTGGGAACGTTTGCAGTTTGGCTGCAGACATTGTGCATTATTGTGCTCAATCGTCAGGTGGACATCGTTCGGATCCTATTGGAGAGTGGATTCCTTTGGGGCAGTGGAGATTTAGTTTGCGAGGTGGTACCAGAGAAGGAAGGCTATCACAAGGAAGTGCGAGAGGCCTTTGCGCGGACAGTCCTGCATGACTTGGTCCGTAACGATATTCACTTGGACAAAGATCAGTTGATGTTGATGAAGAAGAGTGAGAAATGCGGCGGTATCTCGCAACAGAAGAGAAAATGGATCCCCATCTTCACATCTCATCATATCTCATCAAAAGATCCCCGAAGAAGCAGTGTGTTTGGTTGCTCATCTTCAAAGTCCAAGTAGTTGTGAGACCTGAGGCAACGAGATGGATGGTGTCGTTTGGGTCTTGGCGCAAGCCCCCGGCGCCTTTACGATGCTGGGCCTGTTGGAGCCACAGACCGTCCTGATGTGTGACGCACAGGATAGGGATGCACACGACCACGCCTCCATCGACTTCAAAGAGCTTGTGCAACTCTATATGGTCCTTCGGACCGAGGAAGATGTTTTGTGTGACTGTACTTGCGGTGTTCGAAGTTGGCAGCGGCGATACCATCGGCGAACCATGGTCGGTTGAACCTCATTTGGCTTAATTGCCAAGTGGTGTTTGTTTTGGTGTTCAGAGCTATTAAGGATGAAAATCGGAATTGGAAGTCTAAGACCTTCAAAAGCTTCAAAAGGCAAGCTGGAACGCTTTCCAGGTAAGGCAAAAACCCTAGCTCTTCACTGTTTCTTCAGCGTGAGCATCCTCAAAGTGACAGGGCAGGAACCCCCTGGTCTGGCAGGGCAGGTGAGAAACCTTTGAAAGGCTATCATCCACTCAAAGCGTTTCGCCATGCCATTGGGCCATGACTTCAACTGAGGTGGCCAGTTCACCACTTGGTAAATCCTGGAAATACCGGTGGGATCAAGGCAAATGTATTGCAACCCACATCAACCCACATACATCCAATATGTTAAGTGGCACCAAAAACTAAGTCCTGCAGATTACATATGTTCTTTCTGTTTTAAGACGCCCAGCGTGTTTGTGTGCTGAGACAAGATTGCCAGGGTAAACACAAAAACAATGCCTTATATTTTGGGGTAGGTGCTCAAAGCATTTTGAGCGATGTTGTGTATGTAGGACTCAGCAACTCGAGGTCATGCAAAAGCCTTTGACAACTGTGGACCCCTATGGCTGGAATGCCGAGATGCTTGCAGCAAGGCTGCTGAGAAGGCATCACGTCGCCATCTTGTGGCAAGAAGTCCAGGATACGTGGCGCCTTGATTACAAGGAGGCTTTCAAGAAATGGTCTGGCCTCCCGGATTCTGGGCTGAAACAGAAACGTATCATTGGTGCTAACACCTCGGTGTTCAGCAGATTTATCCCTAAGAAATGTCTTGCAGGAGAGATGACTGAGATGTTCACCTTTTTGTTTGTTGAGGCAGATTCTGAGGGTCGCTAAGCACGACAAGCTTTGGAGCTTCCTTTGGTATTCTCAGACTTGGTCCACTTGTTCAACACGGCCCAATTCTAGTTATAACCTTATCACTCCTGATAACTGTTCTACTCAACATTCATAATGATTGTTTACAGATGTTGCAGTGACAGTCGGGTCTGCCCAAGGAAGAATCCCCATGTTTCCCGGATTACCGTGGCCTTCTGGATCACCCATCAGCAGTAGAGGTCCCATAAGATCCCTCGTGATCCATCGTGGCTGATCAGGAGTGGCTCACCAATGCCATGGCAACTTCATACGTCAATGCTTCCTTGAGACTCCATGTTTTTGGTTGGCTTTGCTTCATTATTTTTCTGCTGGTCTTCCTGATTCTTGAGCCAAGCAGAGGCCCACCTTTTGAAGTCTGTATATTTGGGGTCTGTCCTATTACCTGTAACAGTCAGTAAACAAGTATCATTATTTTAACCATCATCATCATCCATTGTTTAAGGTAATAAGATAGACCCAATTGTTTTTATGAGATGACTTTTGAGTTGTTCTTTGCAGCCAGTCCTTTTGGCTGAGTGAGGATCCTCCTCATGGTCTTTGTGCCTTATGCATTTCACCGCATGTGTGGCCTTGTAGCGCTGAGAGGCATCCTCAGGTCAGGATGATTGCAAAAAAGTACTGTGTCAGATCTTTCCCCCCAGATAAGGTGTTCATGGACCTGCGACTGCAAGGTCTTCAACGAGCCGACTTGGACTGGAAGCCTTTGCAGTATTCATTTCACTTTGGGAGGTTTCAGATGGCGTAGTCACCCCAAACGTTGTTAGATGGACAACGGTGATTCGTCACTGTGCCACAGCACACCGTCTTGCCAGGTGGGCCTCTGAGCACGGTGGCTCCTTCCTTTTTGTTGACATGTCCTTCAGGGTCTTGTGGCTCATGATGATCCTTGGCTTCAGGGTCTGGGTGACACCCGCTGGTGTTGTTTCAACCCCTAAACGACCGAAGGCTATAGTGCTTCGCACCTGCCGATCAGATTTTCCGGTCTCACACGTTTGGTGAGCACTGCGTGCTAAGGATAAACACGGCATTTCTACAGGTGCCTCCTTTGCTCATCACGTGCTTCGAGAACCAAGTTCTTCCGGGTTTGGGCATCATTCCATCGGTGACCTTCTGGAATCCTCTTCCCATTACGGCCGTTGTAACTGGGACTGGTGGGATGGTGGGAAGGCTTGACTGCTCATGACTGCTCGACACTTACCCATGAGATTCCTTTGACTGTCTTATTATACGCTGCCATTTAGCGCTCGCGGTTGAGGTCTGGGCCTACTGCGATCTAGCGCCCGCGTTTGAGGGCCTGGCCGGCGGTGCCCACTGTGATCTAGCGCTCGTGGTGGAGGTCCGGTAGCTCCTGGTTGAGGTCCGGCAGTGCCGACTGCGATCTGGCGCTCGCGGTTGAGGTGGTCGAGGGGAGAGAGGAGAAGACGGAGTTGACCCCCCGCTTTGATAAGATCCGACAACTCTCACCTCACAGGCGGTGGCAAACAATCAGACCTGGCCTCCGTCCTCTTCAAGCAAATACTCGCAGTTAGTCATCGCGAGCCAGGAGCACGGCCTCAGGAACTACCGCCTTGGCCACCGCCAGACAGAAATACCTCTGAGGCGAGAAGACGCATAGAACCCCACCTGCTTCGCTAACATCACATCAAATCTTCCGCCGCAGAATCTGGAAGGAGCAAAGTTAGCAAGCTGTCTGCGCCTGCGGCTGGCAAAGTAGCTGTCTGCGCCTGCGGCTGGCAAAGTCTGCAAACGGCTCCTACTTCGAAGCTTGTGCCGTGCATGCCTGACTGGCCGTCCCGCAAAGCCTTCCTCACAAGACCTGCGGAGGCCCACGCAGATCTGCCTTCGCCCCCAACCTCAAAAAGCAGCCAGTGGCGTTGTCCCCACGCATGCGGCGCTTGATCACACCCATGTCCTGCAAAGCAGCAAGTACTTTATTTTGAACGGCTTTTGTGCCCAAAGGTTGTATTGTAGCCTTTGGACGTACAAGTATTTGCACTCAAGCGCCAGCACGCGATGCTTTTGAGTGCCAAATGCAAATGCACATGTCGCTCATCTGAAGGGCTGTTTGGACTTTTCGTGTGCTGCAGCGCGCTCATGTAAGGATATTGCATGAGTCTTCCCCTCTTCTTGCAGCGCTGGTTTGACACGCGGCTGCCTGCATCATGGAAGCCACCAACTCACAAAATGGTTGTGGTATTGAACACGGAGGCTGGGATCGGCTGGGATTCTGCCCAACTGCTGCTACAGCTCATGGCCGTTGAGCTGGAGGAGCGGGCATTGATTGCAAGTCCATGAGTTTGGGAGCTTGTAGCACAAGTGCTTGGCATGCTAGGTCTGAACGACAGAAAGACGGCCCACCAAAGCCACAACCAAAATCCGTCGTCGCATTTCGTGAGTGGCTGGAGCCCTTGTGGTGGTGGAAGGAGCGCTGGTTCGCTGAGGTTCGGTACCAGAGGCACCTCACCGTGATCATTGTCTTCTTCATTCTCAGAGCGTCGGTCGCTTTCCACGCCTTGACTGCATGACCCCAAGACATCACGTCAATGAACGCCGAGACTTGGAAGCAGGAGTTTGCGAGCCCAAAGCACACATTTTAAGAAGAAGGCTGCGCAATGTTGTTCGGCTTGTTGACTGATGCCGACGCCTGGTGATGTTTGCGCGCGTGTGTGTGTTGTTGCTCCATGTGAATTACAAAGAACGCATGTGTATCTGGTGGCAGCGCAAGACAACTGAAAATGGTCTTCTGTAGTTTGCAAAGAGCTCGCTTCCAGCTCCTCTGCTGAGTACACCTCAATCCGGAGAGACGATGTGCAGAGAGAACCCCGATCTGCAAAGGTGCAGTCCCAGCTGAGCACCTGACATTGCGTCCCCGTTTCTCGTGCACCCTGGCTCTGCGCATTGACGCCTCTTTGCCTCTTTGGTATGATTTGCGCGACTGGGCAGCGTCTTCAGAGAACTCCAAGTGTGCGTGGGGGAAGCAAAGAAGCTCTGACCCTTTTCACTCATCACTGCAGGCAAACTCTGAGCGGAACAGTGCCAAAATATTGACATGACCGGGTCATTTCTTGCGGAGGACCTCCTGTACCCAGTCAAGGATAAGAAACAGTGTAGCGTGCCACATCGAATGAGCATCTTTCAAAACGCAAACAAAGAATGTCTTGGCTCAAGACTGTCATGGTAGCGGACTTTCTTCCGGAAGATGCTTGTGGCGCTGAATGCATGGGAATGCCACTGCAAGTAAAAAACCTGTCCGTTTCAGAGCGTTCCATCTGCGCGAAAGTGGACGTCTGCATTTTCCCCACACAATATGCCATTGCCAGATGGCACTCTGTTGCTTGCGTTTGCCCCAGAAGATTTGCTACCTTCGTTGGACAAAAGGCCGCCGAATGCCGTTCCATCCAAGTCCATCAAGGGCCCCAAGCCACTGCCGTCCTTGCCACATGAAGTCACTGGCGCACCCGTGGAACAACTTTTTTGAAGAGTTGCGCTTGCAATTACTGGTGACAACACCGCGCCCTTCAGCCTACTAACAGGCTCAATGCGAATGCGGTGTGAAATGATGCAGAACAAGTGGGTACACTGGTATGCCTGACTGAAAACTTGAAAACCACCAAAGGGCTTGGGTTTTTGGGGCAGATGGACACCTGTGCTCCGTGGGTGAGAGAACACATCGGCGACTGCATGTTGAGCCCTTATCGGGCAGAGTCTCCCAATGGACTTCCTGGCTGCCAAGTATCGCCGGTCCGTTTCCTCTGCAACACGTGCGATGACTCAGTCAAATCCCCAGGATAGTACTAAAATAATCTTTACGTAAGCAGAAGTCACAAGTCGAACATACAAAGAAGATGTTTGACCGCAGGATCATCGGTGAAGTGGTGGGAAGAGGCTTGCACAAGGCTTGCGCGCAACGGCAGCGCGCACGGGCAATTATGCCACGTCAGTTCTCTCGCCATCCGTGAAGCAGCTTGTTCATGATGAGAACGCTGGCATCGCACGC